GCCCCTGGGGGACCGGCTGCACCCCCAGGGCCCCGCCCACCCCGCGGGGTCAGAGCCTGGCCACCGGCCAGCAGGAGGCAGAGCGCTGACCCCTGAACCACTCAGCGGCAGGGCTCCCCTCCCCCAGCGTGGCCTGGGACTGCCCGTGAGGCCCCAGGGGGTGACGCACCTGTCCGCGCAGACCCCCAGGGAGGCGGGTCACGCGGACACACCCAGCGCCTCCCCCAGCAGGCCCCAGAGCCGCTCTGAGGACAGCCCCGCTCGCTGCCCAGGCCCAGGTGGGACCCCGGAGCGGGCGGCGCCACCCAGCCCCTGCGCTGCCCCCACGGGCCGCAGAGCCGCCTCCCCACGGGGGACTCGGTTGCTAGGCGACGGGCAGCAGCATCGGCGAATCAGGAGAGGACCCGCAGGCGGCTGCCAGGCTGCCCCGCCCCCGGCCCAGCCGCATCTCTGCGGCGGCACTGCGCCGCCGGGCACCAGTGGGAACACGGGTACATCCACGCTCTGGGGACGCGGCCATGGAGGCACCCTGCCTGGCACAGGCCCCCCACTGAGGGTCCCTGGCGGAGCGCCCCTGGCCGGCGTGAGGCCCTGTCGGGGGTCGCCAGGCGGGAGCCGGGAGCCGGGACCTGCACCCTAGCCCAAGCGCCCGTTTCGCCCAGGCCTGGGCCACCAGCCGCCCGCTGGGTGAGGCCTGCGGGCAGCCGGGCGGCGGGGCCGGGGGCGTGCGAGCACGGCCAGGCCACTGCGGAGTCTGGCACACACACAAACCAGGGCCCCCCAGAGCGCCAGGGGACCCCAGACCGTGGGCTCACTCCAGGTCCCACAGCACCACGTGCCGTGGCCCCGCGGGTGCCAGGCAGGGCCCGTCGCGGCCCGCCCGTTGAAGTCTGCGAACGGGCCCTCCCTGGGGCAGCGGCCGAGGCCCTGCGGACTGGAGCGTCCCAGCCGGGCCAAGCCCGCAGGCCAGGTGTGCCCCAGCGCACCGCAGGCCCCTCCCGGCAGCCGGGGTCTCGGTGGGTCCGCCCGTTCTGCACCCCACTGTCTGGGGCATCCCCTGGCCCCCGCCACGCCTGCGGCCCAGCTCTTGTGCACATAATAAATCTTAAAAAACAAGGGGGGGCCCTCCCAGCCTGAGCTGCCGGGCGCCCCCGGGGCTCAGGCTTCCCTTCAGTGGGACCCGGCCACCGCCGTCTTGGGGCCCGGAGTGCCTGCGCTGTTCTGCAGCCTTGGCTTCCAGGCCTGGGTCCCTGTCAGAACGAGTCAGACGAGCCAAGGGGCCTCCAGCCACCCCACGGGCGGGGCCAGGGCTGGCGTCCGGTGAAGGCCTGCGGCCCGGGGGGGCCGCGGCCGCGTGGGGCCTGGGCGGGGCTGTGATTAGGGACCCGGGCCACTGGGCCAAGCAGGCGGCCAGAGCGAGCACCAGAAGCAACACCCCCCAGCACGCCCACTTGGGCCCACCCGGTGCCCTCGCGCTGAGCCTGTGCTGGGTGCAGCCGCGTCTGGGGTGAAGCCCCTGTGGGCGGTCATCGGGGCGGGGTCAGCAGGGCAGCCAGGACAGTGGGCACCATGGGAGGACAGGTGGCCGGCGGGCGCTGCAGAGGGTCACAGCGCCAGGAGCCGAGGGGCACGCTCCAGAGTCAAGGTTTGGCAAAACTGGAGCCTGGACTTGGGGGTCCCTGACCTGCCTTGGGCCACACACCCGCCAGTCTATGAACAACAGCTCCGCAGGGGCCTCTTGGGCAGTGAAGAGGAGGACCCCACACAGCCTGCCACCGCCCAGACTCTGCCCAGGCCCCAGCTGGAGCCAGGGTGCCTTGGTGCCGGGTGGGGGGGCGAGGGGTAGTGGGGGGCTGTGGAGAGCACCGGGGGTGGGGGAGCCCTCCACACCTGGCCCCGCCCCCTCGGTGGGGGAGGGGCAGAACTCCTGGTTGCCCAGCAACCACAGCAACGGCCCAGACCTGAGGGCTTGAAGGTCTGGGGAGACCTCTGGAGAACGGGGAGAGGGGTGTGGGACTCCCGAGGTACAGATGGGGGCGTCACCAACAGCAGACAGACTACCCACCTACCTCTGGCCTGCAGGAAGCCAAAATAGTCCAGGGCTGGGGCCGCCCCGCAGCCTGACCGGCACTGGTCCAGGCACACTGTGGGCCTGCCTGTCCTTGTCCTCCTGTCTGGCCCTGCAGGGCCCAGCCAGCTGTCCAGTGGGCACCCGGCCTCCTCCACATCACACCCACAAAGACCCCCGAAACCCAGCGGCCCCACGGAGCCCAGACCCCTGCCCCAGACGGAGTGAGGCCCCCCCCCAGCTCCGGCCACTGAGGCAGGCACCACAGAGCAGGACGCAGGGCCCTGGCTCCGCGCGGGGTGGCCCCTGGCCTCTCCCCTCTCCCTCTCCGGGAGAGGCTCGGGAGTTTCCTCCTCTGATGGAGCGCAGAGGGCAGGAAGGGTTCCCGAGCCCGGAGTGCGCCCCAGAGCTCCAGCCCCCCCAGGACTGAGTGAGCAGGCTGGGTAGTGGGGAGTGCGCTGGGCTGGGCTAAAGGCGTCTTCAGGAAACCGGACCAGGCGGGGTACTGGCGGAGGTGGCCGGGGCCAGGGGCCAGGGGCGGGCACAGTGCCCGCCCGCCCACACGGACATCAGAAGCCCCTTCCTCCTGCAGGGTCGAGGATGCAGCCCCAGGCCACAAAGTGGGGCGGGCCCCGGGAACAGGCCGACAAGGGCCCGCAGGAGAGCTGCAATCCGCAGCTAGGTCTGAGGGCCGGAGAGACGCCGGTGGTGTCCGGTGCCGCCGGGCCTCGGCCGGGGCCAGGCGACAGCG